CCTCCCTTCCTCCCTTCCTCCCTTCCTTCCTTCCTTCCTTCCTGTCTCTTTCTCTCTCTCTCGTTCTCTTTCTTTTTTCTTTCTTTTTTGAGACAAGGTCTCACTCTGTCACCCAGGCTGGAGTGCAGTGGCACAATCGCAGCTCACTGCAGCTTCAGCCTCCCCAGGCTCAGGTGATCCTTCCACCTCAGCCTCTGAGTAGTTGAGATTTTTTTTATTTTTTGTAGAAACAGGGTCTTGCCATGCTGCGCAGGCTGGTCTCGAACTGCTGGACTCAAGTGATCCACCACCTTAGCCTCCCAAAGGGTTGGGATTACAGGCGTGAGCCCTAAACTGCCTTTTGATATAAAACCAAAGAGCATTTTTGCTCATAACATATCCTGAGGCACATATTTAGAGAAGCACTGCCTTTGGGGACCTTTTCTCTTTAATGGGAGAAATTTTGTTTTGTTCTGGATGGAAACTTCATGTAAACATGAAAAACACTCTGATAGACACACACACACACACACACACACACACACACACACACACACCCACCCACCCCCACAGCCTTAGTCCCCAGGTAGGCAGGAAAGAAAATATCCGGAATGACCGTTCCAGTTCTCGTCCCTTCCAGATGTGAAGCTGCCCTGAGGTGTGTGACATGGGATGTTGTCTGTACCTGGGTGGGGACCTGAGGCTGCTCTTTGATTGGGCAGTTAGGGTGAGTGGAGGAGGAAGCTCTGGGGGTGAGTGATAGGCAGCCAGGAAAGAGATGGCTTGGGGAGCACAGAGTGGAATTTTCCCCGGGAAATCCCTTTTGAACTGAAGTGGATTTGAATGTTGCACCCACGGTCACCTAGATCCCAGGGCTAAACGATTTTTCTCTTCATTTTCCAGTAACAATTAACATTGCTGTAGTGATCACAGGCAGTTTGGAGACAGTTTGTCTGGCTGTAGTGATGGAAACAAGAAGGAAACTTCTCCCTAAACCCTCAGGGAAACTTTCTTTTCTCTTCTCTCAGTTGGTGAGAAGAGGGGGACACTGAAACATTCCTGCATTGGCAAGGATTGTTCCACCTTTTGTTAAATTAAATACTTTTCAGCCTGGAATAGTGGCTCACGCTGGTAATCCCACCACTTTGGGAGGCCAAGGCGAGTGGATCACCTGAGGTCAAGAGTTCAAGACCAGCCTGAACAACATGGTGAAACACTATCTCTATTAAAAATACAAAAATCAGCTGGGCATGGTGGTGCACATCTGTAAGTCCAACTACTCAGGAGGTGGAGGCAAAAGAATTGCTTGAACCAGGAAGGTGGAGGTTGCAGTGAGCTGAGATCCTGCCACTGCACTCCAGCCTGGGCAATAGAGTGAGACTCCATCTCAAAAAAAAAAAAAAAATTAAACAGTTTTCAGAATCTTATATTCTTTTAGCAAAACACTCATTTGGGTAAATGAATGATGTTTTCATTAACCATCCAAGTGACACTCCAGAGGTGGTTTTAGATTAGAAAACAGAGGCTGAGAAGCCAGGAAATCTCTCTGGGGCAGGGGCAGGGAAGAACGTGATGTCTTGTTTTCTAGCTCACTGGAGACCTCTGAGCCTCCAGGCATGTTGTCGGTGGCATCCTGCATTTCACTTTGAATATACAAGTTGGATTTGACAACCAGGTGAGATCAGAATCATGCCCATGGGACAGAATGCCTTTTTTTTTTTTTTTTGAGATGGAGTCTTGCTCTGTTACCCAGGCCGGAGTGCTGCGGTGCAATCTCCGCTCACTGCAACCTCCGCCTCCTGGGTTCAAGTGATTCTTCTGCCTCAGTCTCCTGAGTAGCTGGAACTACAGGCATGTGCCACCACACCCGGCTAATTTTTGTATTTTTAGTAGACACAAGGTTTCATCATATTACCCAGGCTGGTCTTTAAGTCCTGACCTTGTGACCTGCCCACCTCAGCCTCCCAAAATGCTGGGATTACAGGTGTGAGCCACCATGCCTGGCCTTAGAATGCCTTTTATACAGCCTCTTGCATTGCAGAGGAGCTGCTTTATTCCTGTCCCAGCAGCTGAGCAACTCTAAAAAGCACGGCTTTGTGTTTTATGGTGTTAATTTTGTTGATTTCTAAAGGCTTTTCTCTGTCTGCCCTTCCTTACTTTCCTCTCTTCTTTTCTCCCAAGGAAAAAGGAAACCATAACAAAATATTGCCGTATTTGAGTAAGCCATCAGAATCTGCATCTGGGAGTGAAGAGAGAGCTTTCTTTTCCATGACACAGTGCATGCCATAGAATGTCCAAACAATGAGGGACCGCACGGATTATCCTGCCCACCTCTTATAAGAAGGTAGAGGCCCCAAGTTAAGCTTTTGCACAGGACTCTTAATCACAGCGCCACCTCTTTCTGCTACTCCAGGGGAAGGGAGAGCATTATTATATAATTTCACGAGTTCTGCTGGAGCTCTGACGGGGTCTCTGCAGCATGACCTGACACGACACTATTTGGAACCATTAAGCTGGCATATCTTCTGGTGTGCTGTTAAGCTGGGGTATCTTCTAGTGTGCTGAGGATCTGGCCAGCTTGCTTACATTTGTGGGCTGACTGGCCGAGAAAGATGAAATGACTTCAGCCTGCAAAGAAAGGCTGCTTATCTATTCTAAAACAGGCTCAATGTTTTTCTTTTTTCTTTTTACTTTGAGAAGGAGTTTTGCTCTTATTGCCCAGGCTGGAGTACAAATGCGCGATCTCGGCTGACTGTAACCTCTGTCTCCCGGGTTCCAGCGATTCTCTTGCCCTTGCCTCCAGAGTAGCTGAGATTACAGGCACGCGCCACCATGCCTGGCTAATTCTTTTGTATTTTTAGTAGAGATGGGGTTTCACCATGTTTGCCAGGCTGACCTCAGGTGATCCACCCACCTTGGCCTCCCAAAGTGCTGGGATTATAGGCGTGTGCCACGGCGCCCGGCTGGCTTGATGTTTTTCTGAGCACTCAACCGAATTAGTTTAGAAATGTCTGAGGCTTCTATAATGGAGAAAGAGTGAAATGAGCAAGGAGTGCCATAACCCCCCTGGTGAAAACCCACCGGATGCTGACATCACTGGAAGCCCCTGTGTAGCTCCAGCTCTCAATTCTGTCACTTCTTTACTCCTCCTGAGTGACGACTGAGTTTAAATTCTGGGTCTCTCTGCCATGCTGTGAAAAATTGTCTTCTAAAGGATGGCCACCATGTAAGTCAGGGCCTGTGGTTGCACCAACACCTACCCATCTAGTTCCTCCTTCAAGGAATTTCAGATCATTTGGTGCTATAGAGCCACTGATGCAGAGTATGATAATGTCTGTTCTGGATACTTTATTTCTTATTCTGGTGACAGGTTTTTTTTTAAATTTTTTATGTAAACTTTTTTTCCCCCCTGATTGGCAATATCATCATTATTTGTCAATCATATTCTTTTTGTTTGTTTTTGTTTTTGAGACAGAGTCTCGCTCTGTTGCCCAGGCTGGAGTGCAGTGATGTGTTCTCGGCTCACTGCAACCTTTGCCTCCCAGGCTCAAGCGATTCTGGCGTCTCAGCCTCCCAAGTAGCGGGGACTACAGGTGTGTGCCACCATACCCAGATAATTTTTTGTAGAGTGGGGTTTAGCCATGCTGCCGAGGCTGGTCTTAAACTCCTGGGCTCAAGTGATCTGCACCCCTTGGCTTCCCAAAGTGCTGGGATTAGAGGTGTGAGCCACCACACCTGGCCTTACATTCTTCAAATTAATGTGTGTTGACAGTAATAGCCTGTTAGTTGGACCTGTGACTACATTAACAAAAATAATCTTTCATGTAGCATATAGGGTTAGAGTGATAGGGCGGGAAGAAAAAAAGGAAAAGGAAAAGGATAGAGAGAAAGAGTTCTGTACGTTAAAGAATGTGTTGCTCTTGGAGTCTCTGAGATCTTGGCAAGGCCTGCAATGAATTATGTGTGTTGTTTTCTCTGGATCCTCAGTGACAATTTGAGCTATGAATAAGAGTTAGAAAGAATAGGACACTGTATTTTCCAGAGTAGAAATATAAATACATGTTTTACAGCCTCAGAGTGAATCCCCATAACTGAACTCACACTGTAGAATGTAATTTGACACCTCCCTCAGTCACAGCCACTAAGAGCAACCGCCATCGGGAACCTAATGTTACTCAGAAAACCAGGACCATCAAATCCTAGGATTGGGAGGATCTTGGAGGTTATCTTGTCCCTTTTATGCCTTCTAGCTCTTGAGCAATAAGGGAATCTGGAGCAGTGAGGGATGGGAGGGGACAGAGGCGGGGAGCCTCTGCCTCTGACTTTGTCTCAAAGATTCCAGAAATGAGGATGCATTCTTGGTCACCAAAATGCTATCTATCTTATTCTAGTGTTTAGTTTTAAGAAGCCCCAGTGCAAGGATAAGAGTGATTAATATTATCAGGAGCACAACATGTTGTGCCTGGCACCATGCCAAGCACTTACAACACATCTTACCTCATTTACTACAACAGCTCCATGAACGTAAGCACTTCATTTATAAAGACAGCAACACAGAAAAAGGTGAGTAAGTTACTCTGGACTTAGCAAGTGGCAGAGCTGGGATTCAAACTAAAGTTTGACTGATTTCGCACCTCAACCTTTTTTTTTGAGATGGGAGTCTCTTTATATTGCCCTGGCTGGTCTTGAACTCCTGGGTTCAAGTGGTCCTCCTGTCTCAGCCTCCCCTGTAGCTGGAACTATAGGTGCACACCACCATTCCAAGCTCCTGTATCTCTAACTTTTCTGGCATTTTTATGCCCTGCCATTTGCAAGAAAGTCTTACTATTATAAAATGGTTCTTTTTATGTGCTGTATAATTGGTTTTGACTTACAAGCCAAAAGACATTTTCTTTGAAAATAACAAGAAGTTCATAATTAGGGTTGCTGGGCTTAGCAAATAAAAATACAGGGTACTCAGTACAGTCAAATTTCAGACAGACAACAAATAATTTTTTAGTTTGTGTGTTTTAAATATTTTTAGCCTATGTCCAAAATATTACATGGGACATACTTAAAACTAAAAAAAAAAAAAATTATTTGTTTGGTATTCAAATTTCCTGGTCATCCTGTATCTTATCTGTATTCACAATGAATGAGACCAAGTTGCTAAATTTAGTCCCTTTGTAGGCCACAGTGTTGCTCTGTTCCATGGCTGATGACTCTCTAGTGGGAACCTCTTCATCTAGGGCCTTCTGTAAACCCTTCAGTCCCATCCCTTGTGTCTTTTTTTTTTTTTCTTTTTTTTTTTGTTCTGAGCCCTTTGTGTATTCTAGATTCTACTACTTCACTGGTTATGTGTGTGGCAAGCATCTTCTCCCAGTGTGTGTCTAGCCTTCTCCCCTCCCCTCCCCTCCTCTCCCCTCCCCCCTCCCGTTTCGTTTCGTTTCGTTCGTTTCATTTCGTTTCGTTTCGTTTCATTCAGCGTCTGATATGGTTTGACTGTGTCCTCACCTAACTCTCATCTTGAATTCCCAGGTGTTGAGGGAGCGACCAGGTGGGAGATAATTGAATCATGGGGGCGGGTCTTTCCCGTGCTGTTCTCCTGATAGTGAATAAATCTCACGAGATCTGATGGTTTTAAGATGGGGAGTTTCGGTGCAGAAGAGTTCTTCTCTTGTCTACCGCCGTGTGAGATATGCTTTCCACCTTCCATCATGATTGTGAGGCTTCCCCAGCCATGTGGAACTGTAAGTCCAATAAACCTCTTTCTTTAGTAAATTGCCCAGTCCTGGGTATGTCTTTATTAGCAGGGTGAAAACGGACTAATACAGCACCCAAAATGTTTTTAATAAGAGAGTAGGATCAGGGTTCGTTTTTCTAGCTCGGCTGGCCCATTCGGCCCTGGCACACTGAAAATTTCGGTCCTTGGAACACATAGGGTTTGGTGTGGCTGTGTGGGGTTGCCAGGGTAAATGCCAGTGTCACTATGGGCCCTTTCGAGGACCAGAAAGCAGGATGGTGCCACAGCCCTTGGGGGAATCCAGGCCAGCTGCTCAAAGGTGCGGATCTTGCCCCAGCCTTGGGGATGCGGCTGGGCCCTGACCGCTCACACGCAGTGCAAACCTTTACTCTGGGCACCTCCTGAACCCGCACAACCGCAGCTGTGGGCCTGAAACCATAGCCGTTTTGTTTTCCGGGCCTGGAAGCTTCATCTTCCGATCAGGATCAGAGGTGGCCGGTTGGTGCGATTCACAAAAAGCCTCTTCAGTATAACCTGGCTGAAGGTGGGCAGCTTGACCAACAGCCCTAGGTAGATGTCCAGCGCTTGGGCTCCCTGCGCCCAGCCTTTCTGTCCTTGCTGTGGTGGATGTCGACTCCCACAATGGCGCCTCCTGCTCCACCAGGCCGGGAAGGAGCCATTTCACTTTCTTTACGGGATCTTTGATAAACACATTTTATCAGTGTTTTCCTTTATTATCTATTGATTTATTTTGAGACAGGCTCTGGCTCTGTTGCCCAGCCTGGAATCCAGGGGCAGAATGTCAGCTCACTCCAGCCTCCACCTCCCAGGTTCAAACAATCCTTCCATCTCAGCCTCCTGAGTATCTGGGCCCATAGGTATGCATCACCACACCC